TTTCCTCTTCTGATGAAGTGTCACCTTCATTTACTCCAACCATATTTATCTCTCCAATGTATGCAGGTTCAGAGTAATTGGTGTCAGCAACATCCAAAGGGTCATCATCCTTTCATCTTTGGCTTGTCAGCGAACCTTAATCTACCATCCTTGATTGCATTTTGAATTAGATCCCTGAAAAGAAAACATTGTGAGGTTTTGTGGCCTAAGAAACCATGATACTTACAAAACCCTCTTTTCTTTCTTTGATCTAAAGGTGGTAATTTGACATTCGATGGCACTATTAGTTGGCCATCTTTGACAAGCAAATAAAAAATTTCATCACATTTCGTTACGTCGAAGGTATAAACCTTCTTTGGGAACTTGTCACTCTTCTCATTTTCAATAATTTCTTTCCCTTTTATGGGAACTAGTAATTTACAAGAGTAAGGGGGAGCCTGTTTCAATTCAGCGAGATCAATTTCGACCTCTTCGAATTCAGGGTAATCTTCTGCTTCCTCAGTTTCGACATAGGAAACCCTTTCTTTCTTGTTATTTTTAAAAACCCTGGCTTTCTCGGCCTTTAGTCTTTCGACTTGTCGAACCCTGTCCGCTAATTGGGCCATATCCCTCAAGTATTGTGTATCTAATTTCTTTTGAATGGAGTAGTCTAGGCCACCGGCAGCCATTTCGACTAACTCATGTTCAGGAACTATCGTGAAACATCTAGACTTCAAGAGTCTTAACCTATTCAGATAATCATCTATGGATTCAGTAAACTTCCTCTTGACACTGGCCAGCTCTTTCAGACTTATTTTAGATTGTCCCATGTAGAATTGTTCATGAAATAATCTCTCCAAAAGAGTCCAAGTATCTATGGATCCAGGAGGCAATGTGGTGAACCATGTGAAAGCGTTCTTAGTTAGGGAACTTGGGAAATATTTAATCCTAAGGTTCTCGTTATTTGCTATGTCTCCTGCTTCGGTCAGATACCTGGCTATGTGTTCGACTGTTGACTCATTGGTGTCTCCAACGAATTTTGTAAATTTAGGGACCTTATACCCCCTTGCTAAATCAGTGTGCATCACATAATCTACTATGGGAGAAAAATAGTTTGGCCTTCTAATTCCTGTATTGAGACCGTTTTGAGCCATAATCCTTTCTATCATGGTGGTTAAATTATTTTCTGCCAAGATGTTGTCATTTCGAATTCTATGAACGACTTCATCAGCGTCTTGGTGTCGACCCACCATGACAACTCCTCTAGGTTGTTCTTCTTGAAACTCTGGGACTTCTAACCTTTCGACCCTTGCCCCTAGTTCTATAACTCCCCTTTGTGGTTCCTCTCGAATCACTGGGGCTTCTAACCTTTGTGCCCTTGCCCCCAAGTTAACCCCCTCTCTGGCTGGTCTATAGGGTGGGTCATCAGTAATTTGTTCTATGATGGGTATGTTCGCTCGAACCCCCGCCTGATTCTGCCTACGCCTTTCTGGCGGAGCGAAAAAATCTGCTATTCGACTCATGTTGTCCGCGTTTTCTCTGTTGGTTACAGTTACATTTTGTACTATTGGGGCAAAGATTTCTTGCATAGTCTGTGCTAAAACTCCTATCATATTATGGTTACTATCATCCATTAATTGCCTAAAGGCCATATGATTTTATGTGGTTAAGATAGGCAATGTATTATGACCCACTGAACCTTGGGTATTTGTGATAAATTGGTTGGCCCCAGATCCGAACCCAAATTGTGGTGACGAATTTGATGTAGAATTGTGCAAACCCGCCATAAAAGATGTTGGCATCCCATAGGAGGGATTTCTGAGTCTAGTGCCATCGAAACCGGGTGGTCTAGTTGGTGGTGGGGGTGGCGAAATGGGTTTGTGTCCCTGGTGGTGGGACAAATCCTGCAAGATAACCAGTGGTCCCTGTATTTCCTAGGGTCGAAATGTTGGTTGTCGTGCCACTTGCTCCATTTGTGGCCACACTACTGGTAGAAGATGCAACAGACTGTGCGTTCGTAGGGATCGCGTTAGACGTCCCCGTCGAAACAGACATATTGGTGCCTGTTCCATGTGGGATATTTTGTTCCCCTTGTTGATTGTTTGGATTAGACATCCTACTACTACGTTTTCTTCTGGGTAAGGGTTGGTTACTATTGGTTGTTTTACCACTTCTGAGGTTCATATAACAGCGAAATTGATACTCAGAAAAGAACTTACACAGCAAAATCGTATCCTAAAATCTTTACTTTCGACTTTCTTAACAACGGGTCCCACCGGGCGTGCCAATTTGTTCACAGTAATTTCTGGTGAACAACCGCTAGTCTTCCAAACTATCGAATAAACTTAATTACTGTTATTCAATTTCTCTGGTAACTTGCAGAATCAACTAGATTGATCCTATGGAACATAGTTGTTTGGTTAAGTCTAATTGTAAAACTAGTATTCCTATTTAGGACTTCTAATTAAAGTGTTTCAAAGATATCCAATCCACTTCGATTACTATACTGAATGATTCGAAGGACAATTTCTATATGATATCAGGAATGTTCTTTAGAAAAGTAAAAATACTTAAGATTGGGCAAATGGCAGGATTAAGTAAGTGAATGTAAAAGTTACTGAATGTTTAGAGGATTCGAACATAAGAAAAGTGTTTAAATGCAGAAAGAAATAAATGACTTCGAATGTAAAGGCTTTAATGTAAAGGCATAAACGTAAAATTGTTTGAAGCACAAATGAAATGGAAGTGAAAGACAAAACTGGAAAATGTAAAGAGTTTTCATTGAATTGTAAATGTTGGTGTTATCATACGTACATCTTTCGAGCATTCATTTCCCTATCCATGCGGTATTTTGAATGTTTACTGAATTTGTACAACATATATGACACCCTGAAATCCTAACACTAAGACCTCTATTTATACTACTTCGACCATAACGGTCTTGTTATCAGAATCTGCCACGTTCGAAGCATGCAGAGCATTACTTCCCTCTAGCCTCCACGCGTCCTCGAACGTTCCAATGCTTATGTATTTTGAATTTCCAATATCCCGCTCACGTTTGAATTTCAAGCGCCTTGGTACCTTCATTTCGAATTCGTTTCGAAAACAACCCTCACAAATATAGTCTCATCATTATTTCGAACAAGGCTTTAGACTTACACTCCACAACTATCATTCGAAACCTTGAACTTTAATATTTCCATTCGAAACAAACAGTCTCTTCCATTCCAAATCATCAAACTTGCTTTATTCAAACAAAGCCCAATCGTCTTATTTCGAATCATAATATCAAAATCTTCAGCCAACAATAGGCAAGGTCACTATGGGAACTCGTCACAAATGGGATGGTGTAGCCAAATAGGCGTCAAAGCACCTGGATACTCATCTGAATTCATCATGTGGTATGATAGCGTAAGTAGGTAAGTAACGTACTTCTGGATTCCTCGTACATGAGTACGGGTCTGCATATTGTTTGTGGCCTTGTGTCGGTTATACTTTCTTGCTGCCTCATTAGTTGTTATGGGAATTTTAATGATGGTGTTACCCTGTTCTATATTTGCACCCAGTCGCGAGGAAACTCCGAATTCGCGATGATTACGTTTTGATTATATGTCCCTTGTAGAACCGAATGAACCCATAAGATAGGGGAACTCACTGAGATTTAGTAATCTCACCCCAATCCTCTTATTATTTTTCAGGAACAGGTTATAAGTAGAAGAAATGCTTGATGATCAATTTTGAAGACCGTAGACGAGCAGATGGCAGGAAGACCATTGTAGATGTTATTTTCTGTTGTGCATTGTAGAAGACAAGTTAATTATACATTTTAGTTGAAGACTTGGTTGTATATGATTTATAAATTCTTGTTTTTTCCCGCTTATGTATGTTTTTTGTACCATTTATAGCATCACTACATGTTATTCTAGACGTATATGTACGAGGTGTTACATTTGTATTACATTTTGAAAGTAAAAGTGTGTGTATCACACCAGTACCCATGTGAACACACAAGTATCCTACTAGTTATTTAAAAAACAGTTTTTGAAATGTTAAATGTTTTATGAATCTCATTTTTAATAAATTGAAAAATTAATTTTATCATACTGTAACATAAATATATATTATTAAAGATAAAAAAAATAGATGAAAGAATAATTTTTTTTAAAACGATGTATGTCAAAAATATTTTTTATGAAAATATATTTGAAGTAGCTCCAACTATAATTAACATTTAAAAAAAATGATATCCAAATGAAATTATAGTAAAACGATGAAATATTTAAAATTATATTTTTAGAATAACTCTTTACACCAATTTTTTATTAGAATCATTTTATAAAAAATTATTGGTAATTTTATATTTTAACAAAAACATGTAAGACTATGAAATTTTTTTTTTTAAATGAAACAAAAAGCCCCAATCCCGCAGTGAAAAAATTGATTAAAATAAGAACTCATAAAAAACTCGTTTTAAGTATTATAACATTTTACTAAGATTTTTGATGGATGATAAAAAATTTCATGAAAATGAAAAGCTATTTTGATTAGTTACTTACAATGTAATTTTAAAATAATTTAATATTTTGTAATATTCCTATTTCTCTAAACATAAGAATAAAAGTTAGTAAGACTTAATGACAATTAAGAGAAAATAACTATTAAGTGTCAAAATATCATTAATGGATTAATGGATTAGTTGGAATCAAAAGGTTTTGGTTAGAAATGAACAAAAGGGTAAGCTAGCAAATATCACCTAGTTAAGGGTATTATGGTCATCTCCCATATTGATGAACAACTTAAGGGCTTGTTTGGACATAACCCTCTATTCCAACATTGTTTAATCAGAACTTGAAGAATGATGATGGATAGAAAGGAAGAGAGAAACATGAGTTTGGAGAGAAAGAGGAGGATGTGGTCTCAAGCTCTTTCCCATAGATGCATGTCAAAGTTTTAATGAAATCATGGATTTTAAAGCAATAAGATAGTCTTGATTCATCATATTCAGTTCCAAATCATCTCCATCATGCTCTCAAGAGAATATAGGGTTTAAATTTCAAGAATTGTGGGTGAGTGTGCAAAGAGATTGTGGAAGTGTACAAATTCGAATTTCTTTGTATAGTCTCCACTAAATAGGTGATAACTTTTTCTCTATAATTCGTAACGACACGATTCTTGATTTTATGGAATCTACACAAAATTCCCTTCATTTTGTACACTAATTTCATTAGCTGGATGTTTGTTATGAGGTTAGAATATGCGTTTAAAGATGAAAGTCTGATGCAGATTTATGCAGAAAATCTGTATACGGGATTTGGGAGTTTCGTTTGCATAGGAGCTTGGGAAGCGGAATCAAAACGTCATACCAGGTTAGATAGGAAATTGGAAACAATTGTATGCTTGTGATTAGATTGTGATTAAATCATTGCATGTGTAATTAATTGTTGAAAAATGGGTTTTGTGTGAGAAAAATCATTGCATGTTCAATTCTAATAATGAATAGGATGTATCCTCTATGATTCTATATTTTAGAATTGTAAGCACATGATTTAGGGTGAAAAAAGTGGGATTGGAATCATAAAATCATGTTCTGCAACTTTTGATTTTTCCGCACACAGTGAACCGCGTTTAGCATGCTAAATCCCGCTTAGCGCGCTTAAGCGTTTTCATAAAAATAAAATCCTAAAACATTTCTCTAAGCGCGCTAGGACCCTGCTTAGTAGATTTCAGTGAGTAGAATTTTATAATTCGTTTCCTTCGAGTGCAGTTCAATATTGGGAATAAAACGCCTCCTTACTCTGCTGTGACTTATAAAATGTGTTGTGAAATGTATGATACCATGATATGATCACTTTTATGCTATTTGTATGAATATGTATGCTTAATAAATGCACTTGTTGGAAATTCCATGTTGTGATCTTTTAATATTTGGTTCCGATGTTTTGGTTGAACATAGGAAATGTCTTAATGGATAAAAGATGGAATTTGTGTATGTGTTATTTAACGTTACGATTTTTATGCGTATGTATATGTTGAGACTTTTTGTATATTTACATTTTCCTCCTCCACGTGGGAATGATCCACGTGGGAATGATCTGGTGTATACTCAATAGATGAGTTGTGACCAATTGCATACTCATACACATTTCTATATGTCCTTCCCCCAATGGAAATGTTCTAGTGTATACTCATTGGCTTGGAAAAGGAAAACTTAGCATAATCACCGCTCTCTATGAGAATGATCTGGTGTATACTCATTGATCGGTGTAAGATATGCTGGTACTCGATGGGAATGATCTGGTATATACTAATCGTGTTACCGGGGAAATGCTGGTGCTCGATAAGAATGATCTGGTGTATACTCATCGTATTATTGAGAAAGGTATTTCCTCTAGTATGAAAACATCAGTGCTTAGTATGATAGGGTTGTGATGCCATGTAGGTAAGGTCACTCGATTACTCGTACCTAGTAATGCCACATAGGCAATATTACTAGGCCCTCACCGGTGGGCTTGTGCAGTCATTATGACGTGGTTGCACTAGCAATTTCATACTTGTTTGGTTTGTGCTTGACTATGTGTGATGTTATCTTGTTGGTTAGTCAAGGGACTTTCGATGGAGATGCTACCTCTTTTGTGTATGTTTATACCAGATTGTGAGAAAATCCTGGATTCGCAGTGAATCTGTTTCATTGGATGCACCTTGTAGAACCGAGTGAATCCATAAGATAGGGGAACTCGCTGAGATTTAGTAATCTCATCCCAATCCTATTATTATTTTTCAGGCACAAATTATAGGTAGACGGGCTAGATGGTCAGTATTGAAGACTGTGGATGAGCAGATGACAGGAAGACCTCTTCAGATCTTATCTTTCCGCTGTGCATAGTTGTAGACAAGTTGATTGTATACATTCTTGAGCATGAGTTGAATTGTATATGATTTTAATTTCTTGCCTTTTTCAACTTATGTGTGTTTCTATGTATCATTTATAACATCACTGCATATTATTCTAGACGTATATGTACGAGGTGTTACATGTTTATTATGTTAAAATATGTAACTTTGAAAATTTAAATATTGAAATGTCAAAATTATTCTTTTGATTTTTTGTAAAAGAATTTATTCTTTTATAATAAATATACAAATGTCTCAATATTTTTTAACCAAAGCAACCATGTTTCATAAAATCATCCATTCATTAAAATAACTTTATTTAGGCGTAATAAATTTTTTACAAATTTCTTTGAAAAAACAAATTTTGGTTTTTCAAAACCTAATTGCGTCAAGCGGTAAAACTCAACAATAATTTTATTTAAAACATGTATTAGAAAATGAAACAAAGTCAAAGAGAACAACATAAAGTTGTTAATCTATTGGATTTATTTAATGACTTACATTCATATACTTATGTCGCATAAATAGAGAGTAATGCTGACAGAATAAGAATGAAATTTGGGAATAATTGGAAGTATACTGATAACTATTGTCACCATGAAAATGGTAGGATTTGGCTTATGCGGAAGCACAATGAAGTAAATGTAAATGTGCTACAGACTGTTGATCAATTCATCCATGGTGAGGTTTACGGTCTAGATAAAAAACTACAGTAAACTGTCACAATTATATATGCTCTCAACCAAATTGAAAAGAGAAAAATTATATGGAAAACTATTGAAAACATGGGCATCAACATGAGGAATCCCTGGCTTGCTATGGGAGATTACAACAATGTCTTGACTAGCCAAGATAGGACTGGTGGAAATAGTGTGAGTGAAGTTGAGTATAGAGACCTTGCAAATATGATGCAAAGTACATGTTTGTTTGAGGCTACCACTAAGGGGTGCCATTTTACATTGTCAAATAAGCACACATATGGTGTGATTTATTCAAGAATATATAAATTTATTGGGAATATGGAGTGGTTCTAAAAGTATCAAGACGCTATTATGAAAATCCTAGATCAAGACATATATGACCATGCTCCATTGAAAGTTGGCTTGAATCAACATTAGGAAATGAAGAGACCCCTCTTTAAATTAATTAACTGCATAACACATGATAATTCCTATATGAATGTGATTTCTAGTAGTTGGCAGCAGGATGTGCAAGGGAGTGCTATGTATAGGCTATGGTCCAAGCTCAAAAGACTGTAACCTATCTTGAAGCCTTTGAACATAAAAGTTTCTGATATCCAGATGCAAATTCCACAGGCTAGGAAGAAGCTAATCCAAGATCAAGACAAACTGCAAAAAAACTTATTTGATACACAAACCATATAGCAGGTGAATCAGTGCACTAACCGTGTTATCTACCTGAACCAGATGGAGGAAACAATTCTGATGCAAAAGGTTAAAGTGAATTAGCTAAAGCTAGGATATAGCAATAACTTATACTTCCATGCTTTTGTGAAATGTAAAAACTAACATAAAAGGTTGTACACTATGGTATCTATGGATGGGAAGTTACTGATAAATCATGACTCCATTGAAAAAGAGATCCTAAATTTCTACAAGAAGTTGCTTGGGAAAAATTCTACTGAGTTGAAAGGAATATATGTGCGAACTGTGAGAAATGGAAATACTATAAATAGAGATCTAGCCCTGCAACTTATTAGACCAATTGAGGACAAGGAAATTTGGAATGCTCTGGCCAGCATTGGGAATACCAAAGCCACTGGTCTTGATGGATTTAACTCCTTCTTTTTCAAATCAACTTGGCAAGTAATTAAGCATGATGTAACTATAACAATCCTGGACTTTTTCGCTACCAGTAAGTTGTATCAAGCTATCAACTGCTCTTTAGTTACCTTGATTCCCAAGTCTCTAGAAGCTGCAACAATAAAGGATATGATGCCTATTTCTTGTTGCTACACCATATACAAGATTATATCCAAGATTCTAATTGCAAGACTAGGTATAGTTACCAATTTGATCATAAATGACAATTAATCTGGTTTTGTCCCGGGAGAATGATTCATGATAACATTATGATAACTTATGAGTTGGTTAGAGGGTATGGTAGGAATAATATATCACCTAGGTTTAAGGTCCAAATGGACATATAAAAAGCATATGATACAGTTGAATGGACTTCTCTGGCTCAAATCATGGTAGAAATGGACTTCCCTTAGATGTTCATAAATTTGATCATGACTTGTGTAACATCATAGGTTCACTATCAACAGAGTGCCTTCTTTCTCAAAGCAAAAAGAGGGTTGAGACAAGGAGATCCCATCTCCCCCTCTTGTTTTTTCTTATAATAGAATACCTGCATAAAGTGTTACAAGGGATAAATAATAATCACAATTTAACTTCTACCTTAAGTGTGAGAAGTTGGAAATTATAAACATTTGTTTCGCAAATGACATTCTTATGTCTGTGAGAGGAGACTTCGAATCAATAAAGTTGATCATGAAAAAAGTGAGGGACTTCTCTATTGCAACTGGTATGAATATTAGTATTCCCAAAAGCAAAATTTATCTTGGAGGTGTGGATGGTGATACTCAAAGACTTATTCAGAAAGAAACTAAATTTTAGATAGGTAAGATGCCCTTTAAGTATCTGGGAGAGCCTTTGGATAGTAAAAAATTATCAATTGCTTATTGCCAACCTTTGATTGAGAAGATGTTGGTTAGACTAAGTCATTGGAGCACAAGACTACTATCTTATACATGTAGATACCAACTGATGAAGAGTTTCATCTTCTCTATTGCTAACTACTGGATGCAGATTTTTCATTTGCCAAAGAAGGTGATTGCCCATATCGAGGGATGATGCAGAAATTTCTTATGGACATGTAAGGATAGCCCTAGCAGAAAAGCCCATATTTCTTGGGATCATGTGTGTGATCCTATTGTTGCAGGTGGTCTGAATTTGATATACCTTACAACCTGAAACAAAGCAACCGTAGGAAAGATGCTTTAGAATGTGTGTACTAAGAAAGATAAGTTGTGGATAAATTGGATTCACAAGTATTATATGGAAAAATAGGATAGTATGGTATACAAGCCTGCTGTACAATGCTATTGGATTGTGAAGGTTATATTCAAGCATAGAGATACCCTCATAAATTCTACTACATGGAATTTCTTTCATGTATCAGCTAAGTATGTGACTAAACCGGTGTATGCTGAGAGGAAACAAGCCTAAAGTAATATGGAGAAAGCTACTTATTAGAAATCTTGCTAGACTGAGAGCTACTTTCATGCTTTGGTTAACTTGTTAGGCAA